TAGCAAAGTCACACCTTAGTGGATCCAAAAATAGAAATCTGATGTCAACTTACTACTCCCTGGCCGTTTTGACGTCATCACTTTCAAGCCCTATTGGCGCATGGAACTCCCTTCCTGACAGGCTGCTGTCGCAGCGCCCACACAAAACACGTTTTCAGTCATTCAGGATAAAGGTCTACCGACACCTGAGAGACAGCAACTGGTACTGGGCACCAGATTCCCTGTAATTTTTCGAGCTCGTCGCTTGCCGGACCCGCTAATCCGCGTACCTGACCTTGCTCAGAGTGCTCAGCTGTGTTTTGCATACATGGAAAACTTGTTATGATTCTTTTCTTTTCTCTGCTTATTCTTTTACCAGGCGTGGGCCATCCCCTGGATTATCAAAATGGGTGCCTTATTATTTTTCTGTTTTTTAGCTTGTTTTCTTTACACTTCTTTGTGGGAGTTTCGTTTCAGATCTATTAAAAAAGTTCATAAGTTTTGGTTGATGAAGTTGACATGTACATTGTATATCAGTCCAAACACTGATAATAAACAATCTCTTTTCATCTTGTTTTATTTTTCTAAACACCTACCGGTACTTTTACCTTCTATTCTACTTCTCCATAGCTAGATCTAGCTTTCCTTTACATTTCTGTTTCTTTTTCCTGGTGCGTGCTTGTGGCATTGAAGCCGAGACCTTTGGTCGGTGGAGCCCCTGGTACCTCACCATCACTGCTGCCCAGTGCAGCCCCTGCTCAGTAGCTGTTTGTTTTTGTCCACATAATTATTTATTTTACGAGTTGGGTTTGTGAATAATAGTAAAAAAATAAATAAAAATAAATGGCAAGGTTCTCCCCCGTAGCCGTTTTTAGCAGTTTGAAGAATCTGTGCGCAGCGGCTGAAGTCGGGTATGGAGTGCACTAATTATTTGACGGGCTCTGCGTGACGGAGCGAGCAGACCTTTGGCTTGTAAATCCGGTAGTAATGATTATGTTCTTCACGTCAAGATTCTGGAGGTGTTTGAGCAGTGAGGAGGTGATTATTTCAATCCATCGGCATCGAAGCAGAGCACGTCCCGTCCAACATCTATGTGTACGACGGTTTCTCCGTCACCCTCCAAGAACACCAAAAACCCGCATATCGCGCATACATTCACTGTGTTGCATGATATTCATGAGGTCCGAGAAGCCCACTTTTGACAGTTTTGTGCCATCGCTCTGCATACAATTGCATACATGGGCTCCAACGATTGCATACCAACTTTGGGGCCTGATATCTCCGGCTTGGGACAAGATATACCCATGAAATTTTCTGTATGTGCTCTGCAGAGGTTTCTCTTTCCAGTCGTGTAATTTGTTGGCCCTAATTCCGATTTTAGAATTTTGGACTGAAGTCGCTACTACTTACTAGTACTAGTAGTAGTAGTAGTAGAGGTCTACTACTGTTACAAGTGTTAGGGCTACTACCATTAATAACCCCCTCTTGGTATAAGCACGGTCCTTTATTTTTTCGATGTACATATACCTCCCACGGCTGTTACTGTTAGCTGCACTTGGATCGCGGCAACTACTTAGTTTTCTGCACGTGAACCATGAAAAATCAATGCATGCTCATGCATGTTCATGCATAACCAGTCAGCTGGCCTGCTCGCCCACGCATTTGACAGGTAACAATTCCATCAAATTTGAGATATCGCTTCGTTCTAAGTCTCAAAACAGTTCTAAAGTCACCAAACCACGCTGGTAATCGATGGCTATTCAATGTTAACATCTTCAGGAAGACTTCAGCCGTTTCCCGAGAGTTTGGGCATCGTTGCCGTTATTTTTCACGGTGTTCTTCTTCCTCCTGTCTGGAGCTGCAATTGCATCCTGGAATTATTTGAAAGGTATTTCGTGCGGGCTGTGGGGGGTTCCAACAGGCATAAACTGACATCGCTATAGGATAACTGGTAACTTTCACCCTTCAAGGAGGTAGAGCAATGAGAATTTTTTTGTGGCGGTCGTCCAATTTTTGTGGCGGTCGTGGCTGTATTTGTGCACTTCCAAGGCTTTCATTCTGCCTGGTACTACTCTCTACTGTATGGGAATCGTTGTTTAGGCACAAAAGCTGTCTTATTTGGTAGATCTGCTGTTTTCAATGACTTGCGACACTTTGTCTAGCCTATTTGTCTTTCGTTCGTGCCATCTATCAGTTTTGTGGGGTGCCTTGACCTGTATTTGTGAAGTTCTCGAGTAAAGACCCTAATTCTTGACTGGAGTCACGTCTTGAATTGAATTTGCTGGGTGAGCCCTCGTTCACGCAGTTGTACTTATCGTAATAGTCAATATCTGCTTGCTGGACGGACTAGCGGCTAGAATAGGGATGACCAAATGGTCCAAGTGTGTACTAGTACACGATTATTGTTTCCATCATCGTGAAATGAGCGTTGTGGAATTGCAGTCGTCTGCCTTTGGCACTGAGGACATGATGTGAGGAGAGTTGATTGTTACTTCTGCTCAGCAATGAAGCGATCATCAGCTCTCTTTGTTCTAATTATTGAGAGGAAAACCGGCATCGCAATCAAGTAAAGATTAGGCAAACCTCGCCAACCTCCAAAGAGAGTCGAAGATATTTTCTCCAAATGCAAAGACGATCTTTGTCAGTTTGTGACTTGCATTTGCGTGCATACATGAGCAAGTCACGGACCAAGCACTGAAAAAAATAGATACCGAGAATGTGAAGATCGGTACGTAGGTAGAACCCTTCAACACCTGGGCGCACGCATCCGTCAACATGTGCCGTTAGGTCTTGTCCCTGTTGACGCTCGTGGTACTCGTCCTCGTCGTGGCCGTCCTCCAAAATGTGCTGTGCAGTCCGATACTGGAGCGCCTTTGTCTGCGTCCAGTGTAGATGTACGCATGCGCGCCTCCGCCTCGACGGGCGGGGAGCTTGGCCCATCTCAGACAAGCGTGAGGAAGCGAGGGAGACCGTCTCGAAAACCACCCAATGTGACACTGGAGCTCATAGACACCGGAAGAGTTACCAGAAGCAAGGTGAAGAGACGGAGTACTGGGGATCTGAATACGTCGATAATGGAAGTGACAACAACGATTAACAAGAGGAAACGAAGAAGACCAAGAAGTGACACGAAAACGGCCATGAAATCAACAAAAACGGACAAGAAATCAACGGACGTTGGAGGTGTGGACCGGAGCAACCAACCATACAAGCCTAACGGAAGAGAACAACGGCAGGCGTCGAAGGTGACAGAGCTAAGTGATCGGACATCGTCCATCAAGCGTCATTTGTCGGGCAGTGCTAGTTGTCGTAAGTTGTATAGTGATGATATCTTTTCGATGTTGACTCGTGGAAGGTCTAAGTTACATCTTGCTGTGTTAGAAGCTCTGTATATTCGTAAACTAGATCCAGAATTATGTGTACAGAAGGAGAATGTGTTATCGTTGCAGTTGTTTGGTGTCACACCTCGTGAAAGTGTGACAAGTATTCCCTGATGTGTTCAACGTGTTTGTCTACAACTTGCAGCTGTTTGTTTTTGAGTTTTTAACACTTCAATCATTTTAACACCTATGTTGAAGTGTTGACTTTTTCTTTCTTTCATTCTCTATATAGTTATGTGTTTTTTTCTAATTTCCAACATTCCCTGTACTATCCTGAAGAGAAGGGAAAGAAAACGTTTGATAGAAAAAGTGTCTACTGAATTGTGTGGATTTGCGTCGTTGCATGCGAATACGTATTACGAAACTGTTTTTCCCACCGCCTCCAAACTACTGTTTGAATAATAATAATAATAATAATAATAATAATAATAATAATAATAATAAGCAGTCAAATATGCCTGCATATTTCACTCCTTAGGGCTATATTGACCGCTTATATTTGACTCCTTTTTAGCGATTGAACACATGCTTTGGTTAGTCGTGATAAATCTAATATAGACTTCGTACTTGGTCAGTATAGGAACTAAAAGACCTCGTAAAAGACCACGGCTTCGCCTCGGTCTTTTACTCGGCTTTTATTTCCTATATTGACCAAGTACTCGGTCAATATTAGATACATACAGTCATAAACACAATAACAATTACGTACTACAGTGTACATAGCAGACTCAGCGGAGGACGTTCAGGTTGGTTGTAACTCTGAGTTTCATGCCGTTAGGCAATCAACAGACAACTGATACTCGGGTAAACCCAACAGTATGCTTATAAGTTATAAACACATAGGGCCACAAGCATAAAAAACTTAGCGCTAAATCTGGTGTAAGGTATGGGGAGAAAGCTGGCGCGGGCCAAGGCGCGACAGTAGAAGTGCCAGGAGGGTGGCGGGCAACAGGCAGGTGTGAGCATGAAAGCGCAGAAAGAGGCGATGGGGAGGCAGTGTCCAGCAGATGGGTGGAGGTGCCAGGAGGATGGCGGGCAATGGCAATGCCTTTATGGGCCAGTGAGATCACTAGGGAGGGGGGGGGGGGGGTGATGGGCAGGCGTGAGCAGAGTGGCATAGCCAACAACCGGCCAAGGGATTGTGTTATTTTTTTTAAATAATTGATATTTGATAGGTGTACTACAGTGTAAATCACGCAACGCCGGCTACTTTTTTTGTAGTTTGAGCACTCTGGTGCTAGAGCTACGAGCTATCTTGTCTGTGTACGATGGTGCCTCCTTTGCACCATAGCTGGTAGCTCGGCCTATTTAGCTCGTAGCTGTACGAGTCCTGATTAGGCCTTTATGGCCGAAACAGCTTGCTGTCTACAGCATTGGGTATTACGCTCCTCGGCTTTCGTCTTGTTCAGCACTCTCAATAGACTGTGGTGCCTCCTTTGCACCATGGCTGGTAGCTCGGCCTATTTAGCTCGTAGCTGTACCGATGAGGCCTTTATGGCCGAAACAGCTTGCTGTCTACTTTCAGCATTGGGCACAGTGTAAATACACATGGAAATCAATTATTGTTCATACTTTATTCATTGCTCTGTTCAAACAAGTACATGATTGTATATCAATTTGGAAAGAACAACATAGTGTATTAGCAGCAGATCTGATATAGGCATGAAAGTACCAGAAATGTCTTCACAATCGTCCTCAACATTAGAGTAGTAAGCAGGCAAGAAGCAAGCAAAAACATGCTATGTACAAGAAAATATGCAGGCAAAAACCTATCGATGGTCAGGGTTTAGGGGTAGGGGTATACAGGGGAACAAAACAATACAAAACTTTACATTGTCTCAAGAATTTACAACAATTTACTGAGTTAAAAGGAATCAAGTTACAACACAACACACAATGTCAAAATCTTCCACTCGAACAACCAGTCTACATACTCACACACCATACAAGCCATAACGACGCTTCCTCTCTGCGAACACAGCGACAAGCTGAGAACAAACATTCTCGCTCAAGCCACAGCCTTTCACCGAAAGTACACGTAACTGTGTACACACCTTCACTGCTTCAATGAATCTCATCCCATCATCATCACTACCCACTAACACATTCTCACGCAACCGCAACTCTTCCAGCTGTGTACAATGCTCCAACACGTCACAGACTATAGACAACAGTGCAGCACCATCGCTATACATGCCCGTGACATTGACAGTGTGTACATTCTTACACTGACAGAGTGCATGGCACACCGAAACAAAACCACTCACACCAACGGGGTTAACACTGACATCCACATACACAAGACGAGCAGACATGGCTGAAATCACAGAGGACAATGCCTGACCATCATGAATAGCATTCAGGCATAGATTTAGTACACGGACACTGCTACACCTCTGTAAGACTACTGATAAGCTGTGAAAAGACTCATCGCCAATCCTACAACCATGGAGGGAGACTTCCTCCAAATCAACACATGGATAGCCACACAGTAAAGAACTGAGAGCAACACATTCGTGAGAAGAAATAGGAATGTTACGGAGATTGAGCTTTGATGCAAGCATAGCACGAAAGAAAGGGCGTGTCCAGCTGCCGGACACGCCGCGATACTCTGCATGTTCATGGTATGCAACCACAAGATGAACAAGAAACCTACGTATAGGAGAATACACAAGAGCAGGGTCAGCATCAGCCAGACTTACAATGCGATAAGCAGCAGCTTGCAGGGATTCACCACTCAGCAGCATAGCAGCGGGATGAAGGAGACGCTCGCACGGGCGTGCCAGCTCGGCATCCACCTGGGATAGCGCTTCCAACAGCACAGTGCCATTTGCAACACTGCCGGTCTCCATCCACACTGTCAGGAGAGTCTTTAGAAATAGCGCATCTGTGGGCTCTCGGCTGATGGGCATGGAACGGCGCACACGATGCTCACCATGGCCCTTGCCACGGTCATGCCGAGGAATGAGGAGAATGTCGGCGAGGACTGCCATGTGCTCAGCCTTCAGTACCTCGCAAAGACGGTGGTGGACCTTTGCCATGTCCATCTCACCGGTCAGGACACTTGAGTCGTTTCGCATCTCCTCAGCGAGCTTAGCAGCGGTGGCAGCACGTTTAGCAGCAGTAGCAGCTTCTTTGGAGGCTTCAGTAGCGTCCTCCACAGCCAATTCCACTCGTCCTTCGCTGGCACATTTGATAGCACTTTTAGTGTATCGGTCGGCCTCACCGCTAGGATCCAGTGAAATGGGATCCGCACACTGCACACGCCATAGCTCCTCCATGATGGTCAACGACACGTCTTCCGGGGATAGAGCAATGAGAAACTTCCAGAACATTGCCATATGGCCATCGTACGCACCCAGTCGCCGTACCAGTGCAATGGCGTGATGTCTTTCTTGCACCACACACACCGCCATGTACCATGCGGCCAGGAACTCCTGCAGTGACAGATGACAGAAGCGGTATTGCCGAGCGTCCGTAGACATCGTGCCTTGGCATGTTTGCAGAAGACCCAAGTTGATTGCATCCTTGCTCACGCGGGAGCTGATGATTTTTGACATGTTGAACACCATCCTTTTCAGTAGCAGCATGCGAAACGCAAAACGCCCCAGTTCCTGTAGGGACTGGACCACTTTGCTGGGTGCCAGTGAAATCGACTCACAAACCGCACCACCAGCACGCTCTGCGACTCGGCGCAGTAACGATTCGTACAGGGATGCGCTGCACTTCCACACGACTTTGCCGCTCTTGAAAAGCTCACATGTTAGGGCTGCAAACATGGGAGTCGCCATAAGACATGACACATCTGGCTTGCTCTGCATCTCTGCCAGCAGAATTTCAGCCCTTTGTCTACCGAGAACCTTCTCTGCGTACTCCCTCACGTTCTCCGGTGAGAAACCCAGCACTTGGATCTTCTGCTGATATTTGCCACGCTGCGATAGTTGATATGCATCCTGGCATGGACGGCTTGTGACGATCACGTGTGTCTTCACCATGCCCTCACGTTTCAGCAAGTCTCTCATGAACTTACTGCAGCTGGCGAAATCACATTCATCCAAGCCGTCCATGACTAGACATAGACGGCTTGGAACATCTTCGAAGTAGCTTTCAAGCTCCAAAATCTCAGCCTGCGACAGGCCCTGGCTCGCCAGTTTAACAGTCAACAGCTCAGCAAGACTAGTGGCAGCTCTCACCTCCTTTTCACGAAGCTCCAGTCCAACGATCAGATCGAAGTCCTCCTGCCATAGTTCGCCTCTGCTCCAGAGGTATAGAACCATAAGCAGAAATACTGTGGTCTTGCCACTACCAGCAGATCCGTACGCCAGTACATTCCGTAACACCTTGCAACACAGCTTTCTCGAGTCAGTCGCTGAAGCTGCCGCTGGTGCAGTTTTTCCTACTGGTTGGGAAATGGCGTCAACACTCGAACCTGCGACACGAAACAGGTTCTTCAATTCAATTCGATCTGCTTTGCTAAATTGCACTGCGTGTTCACGTCTCTCGGCATACGTCGAGAACGTAATCGTTCCATCAAATTCTGTTTTGAATTCCTTTTCTGACACCAACGCTACATTGACGAATATCTGTTCGAGCGGAATGAGTTCATCAGAAGCGAGGCCGCAGCTCAGCTGAACTCCTGACTCTTCCGCCTGGTCCAACAACTTCTTTTTGGCTTTGTCAAGCGAAGGCAGCAGAGCCTTGGGCTTTGCCGCAGGCTCCTGAGCATTCGCGTCCATTGCAGTTTGAAAACAAAACAGATGTGTGCAAAAGACGAAAGTGTAGCTAGCCAGCGATGCATGCATGCGCGCGATGGACGGTCTCTAGACTCTAGTCTAGCTCTACTGTCTGTACAAAACGGCTACAGTCATGTCCCACGACCAAGAGTAGACTCTACGTACCGTATTATCTCTAATACATGTATAAGCAAGAGTACATAATACTACTACTGTTACAAGTGTTAGGGCTACTAGTAGTAGACCCAGGTGCTCGAAGTCCGTACACTTTCACAGTGTGTGTTTGCCGAGCTGAAACTCACACTAGCAATGATCACTTGCCAGAATCCTGCTCATGGATGGAAGGTATCTTGTCCAAGTTTGTTCTGAGGCCAGGCTCGATTGAACCAGGCCATCTTTCGATCCGATCTGTTTCTCTGGAGTTCGCTGATTTTTCATATCAAATTTTGGTGTCGCAGAGGGTACTCTAAGTCCGTACTGATCAGAGGTGACTCGAAATACACACATATTTCTGCTAATTGCTAACTTGCAATCCCTCGGTTACGACGAAAGCACCGAAGGGATATGTTTGGCATGTGCCTCCACCAGTATTTCTTGCAAAAGCGAAGTTTGTTGCCGAAATGCAAGCTGTTTTAGTCGGCTCAGAGAAGAAGCAGCTGCGCTGTGAAAACCGCGGGAAAACAGTGGTGGAGATGCCAGGAGTGTCAACCTTTCTGCAAGGATTGGTGGTTCTCTGTAAATTCTTCTCCTCTGGCCATTGTCAGCTCTAAGCTGGCTCTTGATGATTGAGTGAAGGTCCGTTTGACGCTGTGTCCGCTCGAAATCGGTCTTGGCAAAGTTGATTTTTGCATGAAATGTAACCCAATTTGTATTTCGTATGGACACTCGAAAACCCACTCGCGTGGTATGGGACTTCTGCTTTAATATCGTAGATCCCTAAAAGTTGGTACGCGAGGAGAACATACCACACTGTCCCCTCCATAAAATATTTGAGTCGAATACAATAACAGAACATGAAATTATGGGCGTACGAACTTAGGATACCACTAGCAGCACCCCCGGCCAGCGTTGCCTGGCCGAATGTGGCGGCATGCGGGTGAAGCAAGTACATGAACAGCACACGTGCTCAGCACGTGGTGGTGGCCAGACCGCGCACCGCGCTGAAGTCCTGGTGCACCGTACCGGTGAGGGAGGTTCTTCATCGTTGGAAGGAGAAGGAGGGACGTCTGTTACCATGGTTACGCCTTCGGGAGGCTGGTCAGAGTTGTCCATCACCTGGCCGGCTGGTGGCGGATGAAGCGGCTCAAAAAATTCATAAAATTACGAACAAAAGTGCGATGCGCGCTCTTCACTGCAGATCAGATGCAGAGTGCAGTCAGTGCAGATCTTTTGAATCCTTTTGTTGCAGATGCATGTTTCTATTTGCAGAGAACGGTTCACGTGGTCCGCAGCGCTTGTGCGGCTGCTAGTGCTACCTATGCCATGATGGCCTGGGCTAGGTGGCTACATGATTCGCACGCTTCGCGTGCTCAGTGCTTCTGCGCGCCCGGCTGCTACCGCTACTCGTACTGATCGTGTCTGCATGCTACCACCTACACTGTTCGCACGTGGTGGTGGCTACACGATTCGCACGCTTCGCGTGCTCAGTGCTTCTGTGGCTGCTTCCGCTAGCTACACTGTGCTACACTGTTCGCACGCTTCGCGTGCTCAGGGCAGCGCTGCTCCGCAGCGCTTCAGCGTGACACAAAAACACACGTCACAGGTGCCTCTTCTCTATAAGGAGCGTGACACACACACACACACACAGACACACGTCACAGGTGCCTCTCTTTTATAAGTAAAGATAGCAGCACCCCCGGCCAGCGTTGCCTGGCCGAATGTGGCGGCATGCGGGTGAAGCAAGTACATGAACAGCACACGTGCTCAGCACGTGGTGGTGGCCAGACCGCGCACCGCGCTGAAGTCCTGGTGCACCGTACCGGTGAGGGAGGTTCTTCATCGTTGGAAGGAGAAGGAGGGACGTCTGTTACCATGGTTACGCCTTCGGGAGGCTGGTCAGAGTTGTCCATCACCTGGCCGGCTGGTGGCGGATGAAGCGGCTCAAAAAATTCATAAAATTACGAACAAAAGTGCGATGCGCGCTCTTCACTGCAGATCAGATGCAGAGTGCAGTCAGTGCAGATCTTTTGAATCCTTTTGTTGCAGATGCATGTTTCTATTTGCAGAGAACGGATCACGTGGTCCGCAGCGCTTGTGCGGCTGCTAGTGCTACCTATGCCATGATGGCCTGGGCTAGGTGGCTACATGATTCGCACGCTTCGCGTGCTCAGTGCTTCTGCGCGCCCGGCTGCTACCGCTACTCGTACTGATCGTGTCTGCATGCTACCACCTACACTGTTCGCACGTGGTGGTGGCTACACGATTCGCACGCTTCGCGTGCTCAGTGCTTCTGTGGCTGCTTCCGCTAGCTACACTGTGCTACACTGTTCGCACGCTTCGCGTGCTCAGGGCAGCGCTGCTCCGCAGCGCTTCAGCGTGACACAAAAACACACGTCACAGGTGCCTCTTCTCTATAAGGAGCGTGACACACACACACACACACAGACACACGTCACAGGTGCCTCTCTTTTATAAGTAAAGATGTACGGACTTCGAGCACCTGGGTCTACTACCATCGACTACTACTGTTACAAGTGTTAGGGCTACTACCATCGACTACTACTACTGAGTTCTGTTGCCGACATGGAAATCCAGTTGATTGACCATGTTGACCGGGGCCGGCGCCCTCACCCTAGCGCGTACAGAACGCTGCGTGCATGCAGTGCACAAAGACTACTGTAAAACTACATTGTAAGTCTGTAAGCCCATAATAGTAATACTAATAACGAAGTGCCAACTCTAACGAGTTGGAGAAATCTGTCGTTAAAATAAAAATCGTCATACAGAAATCAGGCGTCGGAAGGGATTTCAGTGTGGTACGGTCAGCCATCTGAAGTACAATTTACTCGTGGGGGAGGGATGGCTGAGCCGAAAATTTTGGAAATTTGGAGCCCAAATCAGTGCATTTTATTGATTCACGGGGTACTTGGGGCAAATAGTGGTACGGTCAATACCGTATAGACCGTACCGTGTGCGACGCCCCTGGTTCAACTTCAAATCGATACATATACTGTCCTATTGAGCGTTGAGAATAAGTGAGCATTACCTTTGCCACACGTAATCCAGTCAATTTTGAGAAATCGTTATAATTATATGCGCCTCGTTAGAATAATGGCTTTTACAGTAAGTCATGCTGATCCCATGCGACCAGCGCAATACTGTACAATTTTTTTATTTTTTATTTTTTATTTTACCGGTCACTACATTTTTTTCACACAGTCAAAAAAAATTGTAAGTACGATGCAGCAAGTAAAGAAAACAGAGACAAGATTATTATTATCATTATTACTCAAATTTTGAAGATCAAAAGGAAAGCTTTGCAATAATAACAACAATAAAACGTAGCCTGTAGAATGTAAAAAGTCACTGAGTAGTACAGTTTAATTCAATATCCATGTCCAGTATTTATAATAAAAATAATCTGCTGCAATTTATAGATTCTCACATGCGAGCAACCTGGGCCTCAGCAACAACCAGCTCAGCAGACTCCGGATGCCGAACCGATCGCTCACGGAAAAGACCCCGTGGACCCCGCAAACACATGATGCATGATCGCAACAGGGCAAATGAGAGACGGCATCTGATGTACTTGAAGTAAGATATTACGTGGGAGTACTGCTCCTTCCTCCTTTCCGTTCTCAATAACGCGATTCGGCGATAGAGTGATGTCGCCGCTCTTCCCATGCCACCACTTGCCGACAGCACAACAGGCATGAACGTCGCATGCTCCACCTCTCTCACTCTCTCTTCATAACATCGTCGCTTTTCTTTTTCATGGCGCCGATAGACAGTGGTGTGTGGTGCAGATCGATTTGAGCGTGCATGAGGATTAAAAACCCGTATATCAAGTAAAGTACGCTCAAAACGACTGCCCCACAAACCACTGACCGCTACATCAAGCCGCGCATGCTCCTCCACAATAGCAGACCTGTATCTCATTCTCTCTCCAGTGAGTGGCTGCAGCTGTGGCTCAATGGAGACATTGTGACAGGTCTCTTGAAGGAGAGAGGCTGTCACATCCCGGATCTCATTATGGCGGATAATGGTAAACCCACCAAGGGGACATGACAAGGCATGGTCAATACCATTGTCCCGTCCACAAGAGCAATGAGTTGGTAACCTCGGCGGCATCCAACCATAACGGAGGCACAAGCCGTCCATGAACTCAGCTTTGCTCAGTGAAAAACCATACCTTTTCAATGGATGGCAAGTCAGCCAACTCAAGGCGCCAGGTTCACGGGCGAGGACAATGGTGTGTCGCAAGGCGTCCGACGCATCATTGCTGATATCATAGTGATATGCCGTGCCGACTCCGCCTGGCTATGACGCACTTCCTTCTTCCTCTTCGCCTTCTCCCGCTGGATGCCAATCAGAGAATCAATACTGTACAATGCATGTATGCTGGCATAATCTGCCGTTTAAGCATATGCGGATGTGGAAAAATTGGCAGAATTCGGTACTTTTTCTGGTAAGTTTCATGCATGTTTGGTATGTGGATAAAGAAATGGAGCAGAATTCGAGGAATTGCCCGCCATAAGGTTTGTATGGTTCTGCCAATTTCACTGCTTTTCGAGCAGAATCTGCCACCTTTTCGAGCAGGATCCGCCGGTCCCTACCAACGGTAAAGCCACCGCCAGGTGGCTTTCAATTCCACAGCGCGGGCAGAGCTGAGTTTGTTAGCCTCTGCACAAATATCTTAGACAATGAAGCTAGTCAACCTACTGGCCACTACTATTAGTATTATGTGTGAAGTGGAGCAGACCACCATTGACCACGCAGCTAGCTGCTAGCACTAAAAAGTAAAATGCACGGCCCCGCTCCGCTGCTTTGCGCCACACGAAAGA